GCATTGAGTGTGTTAACTAGCGACATTAGGAGTGTAATGCAATCCAAAATTGTTTTCTGGATGGGGTAGTTAAAGGGTTAAAAATATGTATTGTATTAGAATTCTACATTTATACAAACTACAATAAAAGAGACCAGCATTGTGCTTTATTAAAGAAACACTCCACTTTTTTAAATAGGTTCATTTTACAAGTCTCCAAGAGTTAAAATGTCGAGTTTTACCATTTTTAAATCCCATTAGCCCATCTGCGAGTCTGGCGGGAGCACTTTTCGCCTAGCATAGCTTAGCATAGATAATTAAATCAGAGACTATTAGCATCTTGCTAATGTAAGACACTGCAGGTGAATAAGATTTATTTTTAAATAAACTATTAGTTAGCAGCATACTTCTCCAGTTGATTGATTACATGGACGAAAAAAGAAATCTTCATGGGAGAACAAAAAAATCTATTTCGATCATGATTATCCTCTCGCAGTTCTCCAGAAAAGAAAGGATTACTCGCAGGTGAAAAAAGTACCCAAAGACAAGAAGATCCGATTCCAAACCCCATATCCAGCAAGATTATGGGTGTACTATGAAGATGGAGTCCACACCTATTATACAGCTGAAGAGGCCTATATAGACATGGTTAAACAAGGGTTTCGTGCGGAAAAAACACAGTCAATAGAATCAATAATGAAACAACTCAAAGACACATCGTGGAAAACATCTCACATCAAAAGACAAGAGGAAAAAAAACTGAGAAATCAACAGACATCTAAAATTTGACGTTTACATTAAACTTTTTTATCATACGATACTTGGAAGAGATGGACACACAGCTAGCGTGTGCTTTACTGAAATTCCCAGAAAGAATGTAAGCCAAGGATTTGTCAGACAAAAATGCTGTTTACACCATGCTATTGAAGGAAAACTGATGAGTAACAGTACTCCAAAAAAAAAAAAAAAAAAAACGTTGCACTTTGGAGCCACAGCATTCATGTTACAATAAATTAACCTGTGAATGGCACACTTGTAGTCATAAAGTGTATTAAAAAACCAAATGAAATAAAAAACACTTCTCCTCAATCAGGCCAGCACTGCAGTGTAAGAATAGTGAAGGTCTCGCTCAGGAGTCTTCACTTGAATTATTGATTTTGTTTATTTTAGGTGAAGGGCAAGACATTGAAAATAGCTCTGAGGTTCCTTTTCCAACAAAACAGCAATCTTGTCCACAGTCTGTCATCGATTGCCAGTGGACTGGTTACTGTATTCTGATGCGGTCCAGACAAGCGTGAGATGCCCTTTAACACTTCGACCTTCATATAAAATTTAACACCTTGGTTTTTCAAACCAATTCATGATCACATTGAGTGTAGCTACAGTATAATATAATTTGAACAAATAATGATCTGTTTATAGGGTGAAACAGCCTTTGTTCTTCTCAACAGTAATACACAGTGAGGTCTTCAAAGTAGTTTACTGTGATTTGGCTTCTGGGATATATTACTGGAGCAACATCACTGTTAGACCAGAAACAACATCCCTGTTAACTAATCAGATTGTAGGGTTAAGCTCAGGGCAGAGGTTGGAACGACATCATCTCCTTGCAGTTTAATGGTTGGTAAATGAATTAAGGCCATGGCTTGTTGACGTGATTGTTGCTTTAAGACCAACAGAAGATGTTGACCCAGGATGTTGTCCTACTTGGCCAAATCATGGCTGCATGACATCAATTTGTCTTGTGGATCAACATCAAACAGTATTCAGATAAGAATTGTTCAAACATTTAAATAGTAACATTTTATTAGTGATTATTTTTGTTTTAGAGAGGTTGACTGTAGTATTGGTAACTTAGCAACCAACAGTAAACAATGCAAGCAAGGAGACGGGTGTAATGTTCGCTTCGTCAGTTTATTCAGCAAATGTGTTTCCATCTCCATCAGACAAAAAATATTTTTTTTGCAAATTAAAGAATTTTGATTTAAAATTTATTTGAGATTTTTTTGGTTTCCCCTCTAAAAACTTCATAATTTCCATTGTAAAAAAGTGATTTCCTAAAAAAAAAAGTATTAGTTAGTATTACTATTTGTTATTAGTTGACTTTACTTTAAAAAAGTGATTAAACCCATCAAGTACAGTAGTCTCTCACTATAACAAGGTTGACCTCGCAGTTTCAGATTTTTTTTTGTGCAATTTGACATGCTTTTTTTGTTCTGTGTCCTGATTGGCTGCAAACCATTGTCAATCAATCTCCTCTGTGTCTCTTGAACAGTACAGAATGTGCTCAGCTTGCCAAATTAACATAAATCTTTGATTGCTAGCAGTGTGAGCTACATGAAGGAACTGTCTGCAGCAAGACCATCGTAAAGGAGGTCACACACCAGTGGTGCTGCGCCACGCATTTTAGAATGGTAAACATATGATTATATCAAGGTACGGACATTGGCACCGCAAGTGAGTGGTTATGTGGTGCCCAGCTATGACTCAAGACACTGTTCATATTTCTGCTGTGGCACAGAGCATCATCTGAATAAATTATATGTAAATAACATGCGAATGTGCATGTTCGGTGTGTGTTACTTCAAACACGCTTTTTAAAGCAGGTCGCACACCGGATGTGCTGCTCGGTGCCGCGACACGACATTCGCACATTCGCAAGTTATTTACTATGAATCTATTTGTATAGCGCTCTGTGGCGTGGCAGAAAATTGATCTGTGTCCTGAGTCGTAGCTGGGCTCAGTGGACAGCTGCCAACTTGCGGCATTGTTGTGCATACCCCGATAGACATCTGTGTTTAGAATTCTAAAATGCATGGTGCTGCTTGGTGTGACGCATCGCCAATCGGCGCATCCGATGTGCGACCCCTTTTAGCTTTAGCTGACTGTAGAAAAAAGAACATTGCGCTGGATGCATTATATCCACACAAAAGCTAAAAAGCTTTATGAACTTTTTGCTGACAGCAATGAATGTTTGCACCTCAACAGGTTTTGATCTTTGGTTTCATTCTACCGGACATATTTTACTACAAATGTTTGAACTTTGAGAGTTTTAAAACAAGAGAGAAAAGTGTGGAAATGGTAATGCCTGTCTGAGGAAAAGTGTATAAAGTGCAGCCTTAAAACTTTTGTAGACTACTTCGTGGGTTCTGCCTATTGCTGGTTATTTTTAGAACGTAACTCCTCCAAACAACGAGAGACCACTGTAAATGAACTGTGTGCATAATTTAAAAATTGAGTTAACTTAACAATTCCAAAATTGTAAGGCAACTTGCTTCAGAGTTTTTTTTTTAGGTGACTCAACTTAAATCGAGTCAAGTGCAGTACTTGGGTTAAAAGTTGAGTCAACTCAAAAAGACTGTGCAGCAAGTCACATTTACAATTTTAAGTTAAGTCAATGTTTTTCCTTTTTTTTGTATAGTTACAATAGGTTTACTCATTTTTTTAAGTAAAGTCAGCTTTTTAAAGTCAACTTTTTAAGGTAAGCGGTTAACTCAAGTTTTTTTAAAAGAAAAATAACTTAATACTTATAAATAAATATTAAGTAAATATTTTCTAGGGCTTTATACAATGTATAAATTCTTATAATTTTCTCCCTGCAGACATTTAGTACTCGTTTTCAGAGATTATATGTTGAAAATGTTCATATCTCTTTCCTCATTTGCAAATTTCTCACATTTTTCAGCATTAAATTGCATAATAATAAACCTAATTCAAGATTTATTACATGTAAACAAAGTTATTTATTACGCATTTAACATTGGAAGCACACAACTGTATCTTGTTTTAAGAATGTTTGAATATATTTACAGAAAACGCTATTTTGAAAATTATGTAATTTTGGCACAAATGTTACAAGAGCAAAAGACTAAAAAACCTTTGGAAAAATCGAACAAATTTACTGATAGTTTAAATATATTGCAAATCTTATATTAGTGCTCATCCAATGTTTCTGCAGTAAGTACTATTCCCATTTATTCTGACAATCAGAGCCAAAAATCAAACGTACAAGAGTGTGCACAAAAGAACTAACATCAAATTAAAATCTATAAAGAAATTTAAAATGATTATTCATGTAAATCTACTAATTTTATCAGTAAAATATATATAAAACATCTAGTTTAAGTATAAGTGTATAGAAAAATATGAACAATCTATGGATGTGGGTGGAGCTAACTGTATCTGTTACATATCTGTTTCATTTCTTTACTGACTTTCCTATTGGTGGAATTTTGAGCTAATGCATTATGATTTTTTCTCCCCAATTCTGTTACTTAAACTTAATTTTTTTAATAATCTCACATATTGCAAACAAATTCAATGAATAAACAACATGTCCTGTTTTTAAAGATTTATCAGCTATTGTTAAACAATAAATTACCACTGAGAAAACGAAGGAACTTTTAACTTCTGGAACCTTCCTGTTGCTCACTATAATAGTATTATCATTTTAAATTAATACACTGTGTATATATATATCTCCATTAGCTATAAATCTCCATTAGCTAAGGAAGTAAAATTTTGGGATTGGGACTTTCTGTGTAAAAAATGCTGATTCCTCACACACAATGTAAATGACCTAGTTTAGTTTGCCTTCTGCATACAATGTGTGTAACTGTGGCCCTTTAAGGCCACCAGTAAGAGAAACTGATAGGTAGAGAGACATGAGAATACAGTAATGATGCTCTTTCAGGACACAAAATTCATTTTGTTTTCCGTTCATTATAACCAGCCTACATTGCACATTAGTGTGACAACAACAACTAATATACCTAATAATAGACAGACAGATAAGTATCAGCTAATCCGTTCAGTTGGTACATAAATTTATCATTTAATCTAAGCCATATGGAGGCTCACACAGCTACTTCCTGTAAGACTATTAGCCAAACACAAGCCCTGAGAATAAGCTTGCTTATTAATGAATTTAAAGGCCCACACGATTCATTCTTCCTAAACAAAACGCATATTTCACAACCCGAAGCAAAACATCCAGTGTTTAAAATACCAAAAAAACTCACCTCCCATCTTCAGTCTCATCCATGTCACTGCTGAAACTCATTTTAGACCGATGCTAGATAAAGTATCAAAACAAAGCCACCGGAGGATGTGTTTCCCAGTCGAAACTGATGCTCCAAGATGAGCTTGAGGCACAAAAACGCTGTTGAATATTCAGTTTTGGTATCCGATGGGAGGAAGGAGAAAAAAAGAGGATGCAGCCGCACCTCCTCTTCAGAGATTAAGTTGGAGGAGGCGACAATAACACTCATGTGCTCATCACCATATGTGTCCTCGCCCACAGAAACACACGCGGATCTGGAGCTGCAGCCTCTGAGGGACGAATAAACTTTTCTTTTTTGTGTGTGTTTTGTCTTTTTGCACAGACAGCGACGGCAGGATGGAGAGCGAGAGATGGAGTGACGGGGAGGGAGGAGGAGCAGCGCGGGCGGAGGTGATTAGACTGGAGATGGTGATGACACACTTTCAGTCGCCCATCTGCAGTGCCAGTTGTCTGCGTTTTTATTATTATTGTCGCGCTTGTACTCTTGCTGTGTTCTTCAGCTGTACTCAGATCACTCCTGGGCATCATTTGTACTTGGATTATGTAAATGACTAAATAAATGTGTTATTTCAGAAGATTAGTTTGTGTGGAGAGAGGGCACATGGTGTGCACATTGGCTATAAGCCTATTAATGCTATGGTTGTGGAGAATGACCTCAGTGTGCTGGACACTTCTCAAGATTGAACTTACATAACAAAACGCCTTCAAAACTTAAAGATGTGATTTTTTAAAACTTTTTTATTAAAAGGAAACATGATATTTTCTGTATATATGTATTTTGTAAGCCTATTGGACTGCAAACATATTGTTAATAATACACTAATATGAGTATTATTATACAGTATGTGCATGTTTACGATAGTCTTAAAGAGACAGCTGACCCAAAAATGAAAAGATGTATTGCAAAATGTTGTAAACCTGTAACTATTGACTTCCATAGTGTTTGTTTCTCTTACTATAGGCATCCATGGCTTCTGGTTTTCAGATTTCTTAAAAATATCTTCCGCTGTGTTCAATATAAAAAACAAATTAATGGTAAGAACCACTTGAGTAAATAGCGAGTAAATTTTCATTTTTGGGTGTACTGTCCCTTTAAGTCAGTTAATGATCACGAGACATGCAGACCAAAAAAAAAAAAACCTTTACAATATTATGAGGAATTATTTGAGTGTATTTATTTATACATTCATTACGCAATTTAGTTATTAGTTATTCCAGTTAATCAACTCGCAGTTCCCTCACAAACCACCAGGGGGGTTTATTAAAGGCCCATTTTATGATTTTTCTCTCATGCAACGTTCGAATTAGCTGTTTGTTGTTGCAAATTTTTGTGTAAACATGTTCTCCCAAACATTTCTCAAAAATTTCCATTTAATTCCTCTTTAGTGATTCTTTAAAAAACTAAACAGTAAAGTTCTGGTAAACGCACTTTCTTTATTTTTGTAAGCACAAAATACTGTTCTTTTATGCTTCTTATTAAATATATCCTGAAATCACTTACATAGAACGTTCCCTAATGGTTATTTTAAGGGTATCTTTTTACAACTGTAAAATAACATTTCTATAACATTGCAGGGAGGTTATATTTAAATAAAATAACATACATAATGTTCCATCATGGTTATTTTAAAGTTATTACTACAAAATAACAATCTCAAAATATTGCAGGATGATTATTTTTAGGTACAGTGGTCCCTAGTTAATCATAGAAATTACATTCTTAAATATACCACAATAAGTGAAATGCGCAATGTATTCTGCTTTATTTTTTACAATCATTATAGATATTTTACAGTTGTAAAACCCCTCGTCCCTACACTATTTTCTCAGACAGGCATTAACATTTTCAAACAGTTTTCCCGTTTAACACTTGCATTTCAACCTTTCTTTAGCATGTCCAGAAGTCCAACTTTTTGTGAGATGGCTAGCATCTTCCTCTGCCTTTTCGGTGCTACAGCGGTTGCCTTTGATGGTGCAGAATGTTTCATCGACTTTATGAGGTTTGTTGGGGAGAAAGCTTGCAAACATACAGTAAAGCACATCAGAGTCACACTGCTAGTGATCAAAGATTTATGTCAAATTGGCAAGCTGAAAGCATTCTGTACTGTACAGGAGACACGGCACAGTGGAGATTGATTGACAATGTCTACAGTCAATCAAGACGCAGAACACAATGCTCGAATCAGGATGCAGAACGCAAAGCGCTGTAAAAAATGCATATCAAATTGCACAAAAAATATCTGCGAAACTACAAAACAGCGAAAGTTAGAGCTGCACGATTCATCGAAAAAAGATTGTGATCTTGATTTGACCCCCTAGATCAGGGATGTCAAACTCAGCCCTGCACAGTTTAGTTCCAACCCTAATGTAACTAATGAGTCCTTCAGGCTTGTTTGAAACCTACAGGTAAGTGTGTTAGAGCAGAGTTAGAACTAAGCTGTGCAGGGCTGCGGCCCTCCAGGAATTGAGTTTGACATCCCTGCCCTAGACAATCTTAATCCAGCATTTCTACAATTCTGCCGATCATATTTTCAAGTTCTGGAGAGAAGCAAAAGCAGCCGCACAAGTCTTCACATTGTTTTACATACAGAGAGAGTAGGCGCGCGCCTGTGAATGATTTTTACTTTAGTCCACAGAACATGCATAGGCTGTGAATAACAAGTAAAAAGTTGTAAATAATATTCAGTTTGTGGCACAGAGTGATCGTTTGGGAGCTGCGCGGGATGTATGAACCACACTTAGCAGTGAAAATGAAACCGAAAGCACGCACATCATTGAAATGACCATATCGCATTTTAGAGTTTTGATTGCGACAAACATTTAATATGTTTTTCTTTCATAGTGAACACAAGGTGTTGTGCATGGGAATAAATGTTTAACAGTGTCAGTATAACTACTTTAGCCTATATAATGTTGAATATAATGCAAGACGGAATCTGATAATGACCAATGTCTTATTTCACCAGTAGAAAAAATGGTCTAATAATGTTGTCAATGACAGATTGCAAGCACATGCCTCAAACATAATAATACAACATCAGAATTATGAATAGTTATATTCTGATGTCATCACTTTACTGTGCATTAATGACCAGAACAAATTTAAGGTCTGTTCAAGTCCACTATTCAAAGTCTATTCAACCAGTCACACAGACCTAATATTATTAGTGTTGTTTTACCATATGTTTGAGAAATATAATGACAAAAAATAATGGCCTACTCATATTAATCTTTATTTTACATCTATAGAATCGGGGTGAAAATCATGATCGTTATTTTAAGCAAAAAAAAATCATGATTCTCATTTTAGCCAGAATCGTGCAGCTCTAGTGAAAGTTGAATCGCGTTATGACAAGGGACAACTATATTTTAAAAATAACTTACAGATCGTTGCCTCCTCCCTCATTTTTTATTATTGGTTCTGTAGCCTACACGAATGGAAACACAATAATCCAATACCCAATGAAGAATTGTGAAACAAAAGTAAATATAAAGTCAAAGTCCTCAAGTAAACTCTGCATGAGTGGAGCAAAATGAAATTATAACAGGTTTCTCAAGTACTCTTATAACATTTGCATATACAGTATATATACATGTTTACAAATCTGTTTCACTCAAACACACGCTATAGGGTATATGCTGAGCTAGTGTTTCTTCCCACACTGATAAACTTCCGGTGACCGGTTATTGTGACTTTTTTTCATTTTATACGGTTCCTTTTACAGCATCAATGTTATAATGTAATTAAAATACAATCAGTTAAACAGACTTCGGGATTCATTTAGTTGCTCAATCATAAAACAAGACAAAAAGACCTTTACTTGCACATGCCCGTCAGGATTGGCAGGCTTGCGCAAAAGCTTCATTGACTATACTGGGGTAAAATAAATGCTCATATGACAAAGACATGGTGAGGAAAAATGAAATTTAATGCAGTGCTTCTTGTACAATCCGAGACCCACTTTATATCGGATATCACTCAACCAGTTGAGATTGCTGATTTTTTAAAGAACAGTGACATACAGTTCAACGGAAGCACTTAACCCAGGTTTACTTGCAAATTAAAAGTCGCATCTCAGCCAACCTGTCAGACATTTCACACTGGATGAAAGATCATCATCTTCAGCTTAACCTCACAAAAACAGAAATGCTTGAAGTTTCTGCCAACCCGACTCAACATCATAACTTTTCAATCCAGATGGATGGGGCAACCATTACTGCATCCAAAACGGTGAAAAGCCTTAGAGTAACGTTTGATGACCAACTAAACTTCTCTGACCACATTTCTAGAACTGCTCGATCGTGCAGATTCACACTCTACATCATCAGAAAGGTCCGACCCTTCCTATCTGAACATGCAGCTCAACTCCTTGTTCAAGCTCTTGTTCTCTCCAGACTGGACTATTGCAACCCTCTACTAGCCAGGCTTCCAGCTAACTCTATCAAACCTCTTCAGCTGCTTCAGATTGCAGCAGCACGAGTGGTCTTTAATAAACCTAAAGAGCACATGTCACTCCGCTGCTCATCCGATTGCACTGGCTGCCAGTTGCTGCTCGCATCAAATTCAAAGCTCTGATGTTTGCTTACAAAGCGACTTCTGGCTTTGCTCCTTCTTATCTGCTCTCACTTCTGCAGATTTATGTGCCCTCCAGAAACTTGCGTTCAGTGAAGGAACATCGCCTCATGGTTCCATCCCAAAGAGGGAAGAAATCACTTTCCCGAACTCTCGCTTTCAATCTGCCCAGTTGGTGGAATGGACTCCCTAACTACATCAGAACGGCAGAGTCACTCGCTGTCTTCAAGAAACAACTAAAAACTCAACTATTTAGTCTCCACTTCACTTCCTAATCTGCAATTGCCTCTCTGGTTCTACCGCTAACTGTATTACAAAAAAAAAAAAAAAAAGACTAATGTTCTGCATCTTACACTTTACATACCTGAAACTTGCCTACAACACTTATTCATTGCTGCTCTTATAGTTGTGTAAATTGCTTCCTTGTCCTCATTTGTAAGTCGCTTTGGATAAAAGTGTCTGCTAAATGACTAAATGTAAACTTAAATGTAAACTGATATTACTATTTTTCAAACAACCATACTGTATGTATAGCCATCTTTACACAATCAACTGAGAAAGCGTTCAAATAAAGTTTATCCTTTTTATGTTGTAAAGGTCAGTTCACACTGCACCGACAGATGCAAACAACAACAGACACTTTGTCAGCTTTTGTAGGATCACCATTAATGTCTGTTGCTGCTGGTCTGCAGTGGTTTTAGCCGATTCTACATGTTCAGTCAGTGTTTGTCAGGTCGTGATTGTCTGAGACGTGACACACTGCTATCTGGAGATTGCTCACTTCAGTTGGCATGTTTCAAAGCAGTGTGAGATACCATTAACACTAGAACTAACCAGGCAATTATTTTGACTGTTTGTAATTAAATAACTTTATTAAAATAAAGCCCATAGAACCATGGTACCCAGATTTTTCCTAAATGTGTGTGTATTTTATTCTAAAATTGTTATTTTATTAAAATTACAAATCACAATAGAGTATTCTGAGTATTTCTATCTTGAATGACATAACAGTCAAATTGACCAGATGCATTTTAGCAAGGAGCTTAGAATGACCTAGAGGCGACACTTAATAGAACGTTTCATTGCAACAGCAGCGCCAGCAACAGCCCCACGACTCCGCCATTGTGAAGTGAAAGCGATCGTTCGTCCATTGTATCTTATTGCCGCCGCGATGGCAAGCAGCTGCTTTGTTTTTATTTATTTATTTAAAAAACTGCATTAAAGCTGAGATACAACTTGAAAGACGACAATACAACACTTCCCAATCATCAGCATTTTTAATAGTTTATTTATTTTACAGACTTATAATATGCTGTTGTTCTATTGGAATTTTCATTCCAAAATGGCTGCTGTGCCATCTAGTGGCTGTTTACCCAATCGCACTAGAGTGTCGCCTCTTGGTGATTCTTTGCTCTTCGATTTCAGTGACCGATACTTTTTTGCATGC